AGAAAGAAAGAAAGAAAGAAAGAAAAAGAAAGAAAGAAAGAAAGAAAGAAAGAAAGAAAGAAAGAAAGAAAGAAAGAAAGAAAAAGAAAGAAAGAAAGAAAGAAAGAAAGAAAGAAAGAAAGAAAGAAAGAAAGAAAGAAAGAAAGAAAAGAAAAAAGAGAAAGAAAAGGGGAGGGGAGGGAAGAAGAGGGGAGGGAGGGAGGAGAGGAGAGGAAAGGAAAGGAAAAAATCACCTGTTACCACTGCACACTGGGCTTCTGGACTGCCATACAAACACACACACACACACACACACACACACACACACACCTTGCAAAATCATTTTTAATAGCTGCACAGTGCTGCGTTCACATCTCTCTCTGAACAGCACATCAGGAGCACATCCCTCCAGCCATCCGTGAGTCACATTTGCAGCGTAATTTCTCTAACAAATGCACACACCGCACCAGTATTCTATGAAGTCAGACAGCTATGTGTTAAATTTTCTTCAGCAATTTATTTAAATTAAATATGTTCAGTGTATGAGTCAAACAACAGAGAGAAATACAAAGGAAAATACATGTCAGATCCCACCACCGCAGAACTAACCCCTGTTAATAAACTGACATACATTTTCAGTGCACACATTCCTATGCATACATTTCTAATCTCACATAAATTGAACAGAATCTAAGGTCTTATATACCCTACTTTTTCTACCTACGTAAATGAAGGTTTGGTAAAGCAACAGAACCTCAAAAATCATTGGCAGAATCTTAAAACAAATCCACTTATGAAATGAAGCTTTTTTCTCTCATCTAGTACTGGAGACAAAACCAAGGATCTCACACAGGGTAGGTAAGGGATCTTCCACTGAGCCCACCCCTTCAGTGTTCTTTGATATAACTGTTGCCTTCTCCTCACAGACATGCCAGGTGTGTGTGTGTGTGTCTGCGTATGTGTATCTAAAATTCCACATTTCATGTTCCAAGCCTGCTTTAGGAACAGTGTACCCTATAATAAGGATGAGACTTTTGTAGTAAGTCAGAATTTAGCTCTAAGTCAGTGCTCACGGCACAGAGAAGCCAAGGCCCAGCACATTGGAGTTCCTGGTGTAGATTCTGGATTCTCTCTGGTAGTCTAGGAAAACACTGATCTCTGGTCTCAGCTGAGATTCACCAGTGCCGCAGGTCTAGAATGAGTCTAGAATGGGCGAAGGGCCTGACAAGCCCAGGGAGGAAGTGAGCAGAGTGGGAAGCGCAGGAAGGTCCTTGATTTGAACCTTCTTGCCCAGGGGCCATACCCATATCTCCGGCTCACATCAGAAAGTGTTCATAGTAACCAAGTGCCCTTGTGCATTTGTAAAACATGGTTATACTTTTTTTTAAATTTCACATAATTTTCCAGATGAGGCTTGGTAAGATTCACTGAAATCATGTGTGCAAAACTCTAAGTATGGTCCCAGGGCATAGTAGATGCCCAATAAACCTCCATGTCATGGAGAAGAAAGGGTGAGAACATGCATGCTGCAGGTCTCCCTTGTCTACCTCCCTCTCTGGATCAGACAACACTTTCATTCTGCAGACAATACTGAGACGGACATTGCAGGACTCCAAGAGATGGTGTCAAATCAGTGATGAGTCCCCAAAAGGCAAATCACATTCTTTATGACCCATCAAATCAGAAAGCTAATAAAATCTAGCTATTACTCACAAACTCCCCAGTGCTTTGTCTAAATGTGGAAAATGTCAACATCAACACCAACCTCAGCCTCAGAACAGACCCAGCTCACCTGAGGCCGGAGGGAGCAGAAAGACTCAACCTACTCCACTCAGCTGCCATGAACAAATAGAGGGGACCTTCAAACCCTGTGTGTGCCCCATCCCAGGAGACATTGCAGGTGGTGGCGAAGGCAAGACACAACCTCTTTTTGCCTTGTTTGGAGCACACAGGGACAGTATAGCCCCATTGTATTTAGAGCAGCCAAAGAAATATAGATTCAAATAAAGGGCAAGGGAGGCCATAGGAGGGATGTACCTATGTTTCTCATCTTTTTTCACTACATATCTTTAAAAAGAACCAGACACCATAGCAGTCCATGCTAACAGATAATTGTCACATACTAATAATTCCATCTGGTCCCATAAAAGGGAGGGGGATCATTGCATGGCAACGCTCCGCGTCTCAGGCTTCATTAAAGTGATTTCTCCCAAGAGTCTCCTATAACAGCATGTAAAGCACTTAGTCCCGCACCTGAATCATCCTCAGTAATCAATAAATGGAAACGAGTTGCAGCAGCAAGAGCGACTTGCTGAGAGACAGCCCACGGAGCAAGGCAAGACTGCTGACAGCCAACTCAATGTTCTGCCCAAGCAGAGGAGAGCCCCTCTAGAAACCCGCATGCCCGGCCCTGTGTGGCCTCAGGTTGACCCGTCTGTCTCCAGTCCTCCAAGCTCCTTGGCAGGCTGCACAAGCTCTGCAGGATCTGTCCACGATGACAGAAATATCCCAGCTGAAGAACTGAATTTCACAGGTCTGACGCTGACACAACCCATGGAATTCAGTTCTCAAAGCTGAGGATACACACAGGCTCTCCAGAGATGGCACAAAGCCTTTCTTCCTGCTTGGCCCAGCTCTGTAAGATACAAGAGAGAAAAGCTTGGTAAACGTGAAAGTGGCTGCTTCCCACTGCTGGACGCGCAGGACTCAGAAGCACCCGGAGGGATATGCGCAGTAGCCATTTTGACAGCCATCAGGCATGACAGCTGGTCTCTCCTGCCCCTGGACCCAAAACTCTTCCTTCTCCTTAATACCAGTTCATCCTGAGGTTCTTACCTTCAGTGTTATTCTCCCTGCCAGGCCGTGCGTGGCCGAAACTACTACTAGTTTGCTCTTTCCTCCTCGCCTATTAATAATTGTGCCTAAGTTGTAGCTGGGCACGTGCACACCTGGCATGAAGACTTCATTTCCAGGCCTTGCATAACTAAGTTCTTCATGGGAGCAGAAGCCACGCGCTCTCTGCTGTCTTCTTCCTCTTCTCGCTGCAGATGTGGTGAAGAGGCCCCAGGAACCATGCAAATGAGGGCCATTGCCCAGGGAAGGGCAGGCTGCATGCTAGAAGGCCCTTGAAATCATGGGGCTTGCACATGAGCTGCTCACACCTGGACTATGACATCAGCGAGTACTCAGCTTCCACCCGTATGTCTGTACACACACACACAGACACAGTAACTTTCTTGAAATAGAACCCACACACCATATAATTCACTTAAAGTATAAAATTCACTGATTTTCAATATATTCACCAACTTGTGCCACCTTCACCACAATCAAATTCTAAACATCTCCCTCAACCCCAGAATAAACTCTACATACTTTAGCACTCACTCATTTTCCACTCCGAGTCCTGGGCAGTCAATAATCTACTTTATACCATATATATAATGAATATATGTACTGTGCATATATATGTTTCTCTCACATATACATGAAATTTCTAGAATTAGCAAATATTTTGTCTAACGTAAATTTTACATATATGAAATCATGACATATGTGGCCTTTTGTGACTAGTTTTTTCACTGAGCATAATGCTTTCAGGGCTTATCCATGTCTTAGCACTTGTATCAGTATTTCATTCCCCTTCATGGGTGAATAATATTCCATTGTATGGACATGCCACATTTTGCTTATCCATTTAGCAGTTCATGGGAATTTCATTCTTTCCACTTTTTGACTACTATGAATAATGCTTCTGTGAACACTCGCATATGAATTTTGTGTTGATACATGTTTTCATTGGGGGTGTGGGGGGATATACCTAGGAGTGGAATTACTGAGTCATAACCTTGTGAGAACTCTGAGACTGTTCTGCAGATGGCTGTACCACCTTACTTTCCCACCAGCAGTGTATGAGAGTTTCAATTTCTCCACATTCTTGCCAGTAATTGTTATTGTCTGTCTTTTGATTTTAGCTAGCCTAGCAGGTATGAAGTGGTACCTCATCATGGTTTTTACTTGCATTTCCCTGATGGCTAATGATGTTAAACCTTTTGTCATTTACCTACTGGCCATTTGTATAGCTCTTTTGGGAAAATGTCTATTCAGATACCTTGCCAATTTCCTAACTGGGTTGTCTTTTTATTATTGAATGATAAGATTCTTTTATATATTCCAGATACAAGTCATTAGGATACAAGTCATAAGTCTTACTCTATGGGTTGCCTTTTAACTTTTTTACGTGTGTGTGTGTGTGTGTGTGTTTTCCATCACATCATTTCTGGCACAATGTCTGAATGATGGTAGGCATTTCAGTGATTTGGAAGAAATGACAGAAAGAACTTTCAGGGGCCATGTAGCTTCCTCAATGGAAAAACTGAAAGCCTAAAGATACTAAGGTGGTGCATAGGCAGATGATAAAAATAAGGAGATAGAAGTTAGAAGAGGACTTTAGTCCCAGCTTGCCTCCTACCAATCACAAGAATGGGGCCGGAGACATAGCATGCTGGACATCAGAGACCTCCCCAAGTAACGGCCTTTCCAAGTTTAGAGGGTTGGAAATTTCAGCTTCAACCTCCAACCTTCAGGCATAAGAGGCAGAAAGCTGAGTGGAATCGAGTTGTCCAGTTTTTCAGTCAATCATGCCTAAGTAGTGAAACCTCCATGGAAACCTAGACAGGCAGCATTTGGAGAGCTTCCCACTAGCTGAACATGTGGAGGTGCCTAGAGGCTACTCAGTGCCCCCAGAGAGGACCTACAAGCTGTTTTCTCCCCTCCCGCCCCTCACTCCATGCCTCTCCCCATCCACATCCTTAGTAGGAACCTTTAGAAGATGCTAATAAACATTTAATAAAAAGTAATAACCCCTTCTCTCCTATCAGGTACTAACAGGAGCAAAGTGAACTAATACATGAAAAGCAATCACGTGAACATGAATTATCACTGAGGTCCAAGATCAAGTAGTGAAAGCAGCTGGGTGAGGAAAAGGGGATGGTGGAGGTGGCTCAATTTCCTATCCAGGGTGCTGACAGCACATCACACTTCATTTTTCAGTGTGTTGCTGATTCCTATCACCCTCTGGGGGAGTTTCCAGTTCAGTGTAAAAGACGACACCGCTCAATTAGTCCCAAATCACAGAAACCCTGGGTCCTCCCACCCACCGTGAATCCTAGACAATAACCGTTACTCCCACTAAGTGTAGCACGGAGCAAGAATTATGTTTTATTCACACCTGGAGCTCCTCCAGCCCCCACCCTGTGCCTGGCACACTGTAGATGCATAAAATATTATTTAATTAATGAACAACTAAATGAACAGGTGAATGGATATGTGGATGGGTGAATGAATGAAGACAGGAATGACAACCATAATGAACATGTAGAGGCGCCTAGAGGCTAGCTCAGTGCCCCCAGAGAGGACCCATTGTCTAGGTGACCCAAATCCACAACGCTAATGAAGCAAGTGGACCCTGATAGATCAGGTGAAGGATTCTGAGGTAGCACCTGGGCCCATCTGGTGATAGTAAAGTGTGGCGATTAGAAAACAGGTTCTGGAGCCCGGCAGCAGGGGGTTCTAATTCCAGCTCAAAGTCTGTGAGTGCGCACAGTGGGAAGGCGGCAGCTACGTATTTTCATCTCTGTTTAAACTTACATCTATTTGTGTCTGTCACTGTGCCACATCCACGCCTTTATTCCTTCTGCTCTACACCAGGCTTCATGTCCCTGCTCCTCCATGGCCCTCAGCCAAAGCTCCAGGCATTTTTTAATTCTGGTTGGATCCACACAATTTGGCGATTACTATATAAACGTCTGCATTGCTCATGCCTCGGCCTCAATTCCCCTTACTCAAAGTAATCCGCGAGGCACTCACTCCCCTCAGGTGACATGTAAGGGCTTCTCCACCACCCTCAACTCTATGTGGCCTTTGACACTTAGCATAGAATGTAAATCATTCGAGGCTCTCCCTTCTTTCATCTCTCAAAAAAGCTTTGCCTTCCCCCCTACGCGGAGGAAGAAAAGCGTGATGTGTAAGGGGAAAAAGAGACAGCCTCACCCCCACAGTGCTCCAACCTAGGTGACCGAGAGTATGAAAGCCAGAAACACAGAAACCCAAAGAAAAGGGGGTGCCACATAACATAATAACCCCCATTTGCCAATGTCGTCCCAGAACCAAAGGAGCCACTTTAAACCTCACTTCACCCTCACAAAGCCATAGGAAGTGCTGTTCCCATCCGCACTGCATGGAAAAGAGGAGGAGGAAAAGGAGGAACGGAGAGAGGAAGAGGAGCTAAGCAATGAGAAAAATATTCACCCTATCACACACACACACACACACACACACACACACACACACACACACACGAACAATTTCAGCCACTCTGCTCCACTCTCTTCTGCCACTGGAAAGTGAAAAAAAAAATTTAAAAATGCTCCCTAAAAGTAAAGACTGGATAAAGTAGTAAAGTGAAAAGAAACTCAGTGACACAGAAGGCAACAGATAATATGTACTATGCCTGGCATTAATATGAGGGCCTGGCTGAAGGGAGTCCTTTCACTTAGTATTTAATACTTCTGCACACCCTGCCAGCTCGGCCACCAACAGGCAGCTGGCCCTAATGTAGCCCCGACACCCAAGTCAGAGTCGTCTCCCACCAAGACTGTGGCTGCAGCCGTCCAGTCCCTTCCTGACCCCACTCCTCCCTCCGAAGTCCTCCCTCCGAACAGCAGTCAGGGAAATCTTATGAAGAGATAAGTTGGAGGGAAGGCAATGAGATTTTAAAAGAAAAAAAATTATTAAGATATGTCACAGAGATGCATCCCTTCCCCACGAGGAATGTAATCATTATATACTACAAACATGTGCCACAAAATAAATAAACGATACATTGGTTCATGTCCAACAGCTTCCCTGAAAGCTGAGAACAAAGTTCAGCCCCTTGACATGGTCCACGAGGCCCTGGCGATCAGGTCCCTGTCTCATTTTCCAGCACCTTCTCCTCCCTACGGGCCTCTCGCTGTTCCTCAGTGCGCCAAGCTCTTGCCTCATCTAGGAATGCTCTTCCCCCAAATCTATCCACGTCCACCCTTCAGTTTGTCCAGTCTGCTCTCAGAGTCTCCTCCATACAGCTGCATCCCTCACCACCCCACCTAAAACAACCACACACACGCCCACCGTCACCCCACACGCTCTCTCCCCCTCGCCCGCTGTTCCTCTCCTGTGAAGTTTATTTCTGCCAGTCCGTGTCTGCAGCACACCATGATGACATTCAGGGCGGGGAGTCGGTGCACTTCCACACCACGTCTTGATCCTTTCTGACATCCCCTTCCCCATCCTCCCTCACGCTCCCCCATCTTCGGTCCCCTCCCTTCTGTGAAAGATCTATCTCCCCCTTCCCTATTATCTTTTAATTTTGCTCTTTAGTTTATCTCTATTTGGGATTTCTCACATGAGAAAATCAGGACTTGCTATCCTTTTGCAGTTGCAGTTGCTTCTCTGTTTACTTTGTCTGCCTGGAATGGACACTCTTTGGTAGTGGGACATTGAACAGAATAATGCCCGGCATAGCGGAGGCCAATTCCCAACTTTTTGTCATAATCAACCCCCAAAGGACCCTCTTCCAATTTTTCTAATCATCTC